ACAACACTGAAACCCTTGTCGTCACTGTCCCAAGCTTTCCTGTGATCTGGAATTGACAAATGGCTTGATATCGTTAATGTTAATAGTCAGAAACACAATCCAATCCCACACTAAGCCAGTACCTGACCCAAAACAAGACCTACCATGTACTCTTTGTATTTTCTACAGAGAACACCTTCTAGAATTGTATTGATGTTATTTTTGTAACATGTTTACAGGTGACAGATATGTAACAGTGTACAGCTCCCTTTGTTATAAATGTGTTACCTTGTTTCAGTTTTCTTTACAGCTGTTGAAAGCTTTGTGAGGAAATCATAAATGAAATATGTTTATTTCTTAAACTGATACAATCTACCAATAAGAGATAGGATGGTTAAAAAATCCCTTTATACATGTCTATTATGTGTAACTCCACATAAGGAAAACACTTCTTTCTGTCATCAATTGGGTGTTTTTTTTTTCCTTCCTGTCCTGTCTCCATTACTGTAAAATATCATGGTGTTTTGCTGTTGGTCTCACCTGTGTGCCATGAAACAGGTGTGCCAGACCACATGTCTATCCACCCTTGGGCCAATCAACTGACCCCTACAGGTCATTCTTGACCACTCATTATTTTGTGATGTATAATATTATGGCCCTATATACCTGGAGGGTCAGACTGACTTTTAGGAATGTATGTCTGATTCACCTGTTAGTCAGGTTGGACATAACTTGTGTACACAGACTGACCATTAAGTATGTCCACATTAACTACATCACTTAATGACAGAAATCTTTTAATTTGCCATTGGAAAAATGAAAATGTCACTTGATTGTGTTAATTGCCTAAAACACTTTCAAATGAAAAATATTCAAATGAACCATCTATATACAAAAAAAACCCTGTCTACTGGTACTTAACAAATACCTGTCTGTGAAGGTCACCTGAATATCACAATTCCTCTCGAAAAAGGCCATCTTCTAAGAATACCTTTATTTACCAAATACCTGTCTATAAAGGTCACATGTACAATACAATACCTGTCTATAAAGGCCCCCTGTATGGAACACATATCTGTCATAAAGCCCACAGGTTTCGAGTCCCAATGCAAAATCATCCTTAATATAAAGGTTACCTGTCGTAAAGACCACAGGCACTTTTTTTCCTGCTCAAACGCGTGGCCCTAATGGACAGGTTTGCATATTTATCAAGTCTGGGTCAAAATGGAGTTTTAAAAACCTGACTCTTAAATCTCAATTTTTTCCCTACACAAACAATAGCTGTATATTTATAAGATCAGGAATTCATATCACCATGGAAATATGTCAACTTCCATTAAAATGTGTAAATGGAGCTATTACTGTGATTTCCGGTTGAACGAGCAGGGAGTTGACATGGCTTGGTGATAAACTGAATCCATTAAACTCCTCCTAATATCCTCTTAATATTTCTAAACACAGAATTTGGAGGGCTCGTAAATATGTAACCATGCTTTCCCAGGCTTTAAAAATCTGCACACAATACCTTTTCCTACCTAAAAACAAGAATAGTCCGAGATAATTATTCCTGAAGGGAGATTCCATTAACAAAATGCAGGTATAATAGTCATCTGTTATTTTCCATAACAGAATCACTCATGTATAAAAAAAAGGGATAAAAATCTGATTTGTCACAAAGTTATGTATACGTTGTAAGGTAAGGCCAGAGGGTGAACTACTGTCCTGTAAAAAATAATCTTTTACAAATATAGAGCCATGTAGATCAACAAGACCAACAACGAGACCGACAACGAGACCAACAATGAGACCAACAACGAGACCGACAACGAGACCGACAACGAGACCAACAACGAGACCGACAACGAGACCGACAACGAGACCAACAACGAGACCGACAACGAGACCAACAATGAGACCTTCATATAAAACTATTAAATTTCCCTGGCAACACTTTTGCACATTAAGTTTTTGATTAATATGTAAAACTGAATTATCAAATTTAATGGAAGTGACTTAAAGGTTAACCATATAATGTTGCTACTCCTTTAAAAAGAACAAAAAATAAAAAACCACTTTTTTCTCCCTTTTTCCTCTCTCTACAAGATGCAACTTTTAAGGCAAAATGGCTAGAGAGAGATTATAGTACTAGCCCTATAAACCATGAGAGGTCTATTTCTATAAATGATCTTACTGAAATGTCATTTTCTACACAAAAGATATCTAAAAGGCAGGAGAAACAGTTATATAACATGTGGGAAAAAAACTACCACCGAAAACATTGCCTCGAAACTTTTGTTAAAAAGTTTGAAACATGGTCACCCTGCATCACATGTAATCGTAGTATCACGTAGAATCAGGTGTAATTGTAGAGTTACTGAGAATTGACAGTAATTGTAGGTTTTGTATGTAAAAACAAGAAAGTATTCTAAATTACAGGAGTAAAGTGAAGGGATAAATTAAAGTCAGAAACACGGTCTGACTGTTACAGAGGTAATAACAGGTTTAGGTCATGGTAGGGAACCAGCGCTTGTGGGAACTCTTCAAGTTAGGACCAAATTGCTGGAGAAAAACGTGTGATAATTCAAACATTTACTTATTTAAAACTTCACAATCCCATGAACAGTGAAAATCTGAAAATGAAACATTTTAAACAAGACCCAAGGTGTGATAATTGAATGTCATAATGGATGTCAGGAATTTAATTTAAGTCCATTATGTCTTAAATAAGTCTGGATGCTTTGTTCAGGTAAAGTCTCACACACTGTCCTTAGACAGAGAGGTGTGAAAAACAGTGACATTTGAAAACAAGAGACAGGATATGCTGCTGATTAGGACAAAATCTAAGAATGGAAAATAAAGGACAACAAGAGAGTTATGGTTCTTGTGCACTGCCCTCCTACTCACTGAGACCTATCTACCTTGGAAGTTTCATGTTAATACTTCTTATAGTTTTAGTGTAATACTCCAGATAAAATTTAAAAATGAAAAATAACAAAGGGCAATAACTCTTTAAATATGCAAAAGAGAGTGATGGTTCTTGTGCACAGCACTTCTTCTTGTTGAGATTTATCTAACTATGAAGTTTTATGTTGATACCTCTTATAGCTTTTGTTATGTTCTGGACAGAATATATGATGGACAGATGGACAAAGTGGCAAACTATCTGCTCTCCCTTCGTGGAGCATAAATATGATTACACCACAGAACTACAAACATGGGGCTTAATTACAAACAATTTGGTCATAATATCAAGCTAAGAAGGCTAAAATGATTTATATCAGGTAGGTTATATCAGGTTATGTCAGATGCGGGGGTTAAGGCTTTGGCTATTATGAATGGTCACAAAGATTAAGACTGACATATATATGTAAATGCTTTTCTCTGTGAGAAACACTTGTATAGTAAGTCAAGCTGAATAATCTGTCTGACAATGACAAATATAACATCCATGATTGACATAGATTTATTTTCAGATTATGTAAATCGTACTTTTTCATGGTGATAGAAATCACAAACCTTTTCTAGTCGAGACATAAAATGTCCGATTTCCTGGTTTCATTTTGAAGTATTCAGAATAAGAATATTTTTCTTTTCAATGTCAGATTCCATGACACAATAGGATTTTTAAAGAAAAACGGTTTTACATATTTTATCGGTGAATTTGCCTTATTGAAAAAAAATTATGCTTAACAACAAGTTCAAATGCTGACTCCCTCCTCCCGCCTTGAAAGTGAACAAAAAAGTTCTGTTTGGAAATGCATACAGGTATTGTTAAAGAGAAAAGTTTGCATGTGGAAAATAACCCCTCTCCGATGAGGTGGTCTGTAGCCAGCTGGTATAGCTATACTTGTCAGTTATGTGTTGTGTTTCTGCACTAATCTCACGCCCCAAACAGCCTGTCTAGAGCCCCCTTATGTATGCTGTGTTACATGTGTTTTTTTTTAGAAGCAAAGGTGTAATACAATATTACATATGTTGGACTTCGTCTACCACAGTTGCCTAGCAACCATTTCTGTAAGAGTACACTGGGGCAGAGAAAAGGATACTACATAGTATTATGATAAGAAAATTTAATCTTGATGAAGAAGGAAATGAGGATATTTTTTGGGGAAAAAAAGAAAAATGATTTCTAGTTTTAAAATTTTATATCAAATATGAATTAGTAAATAAATTCATTCAATAATTGAAGACCAAAATTTAAGGAAGATAACAGGAGTTATGCCCCTTCCATTATGTTTTACATTATTTTCTATTCTACAAAAGTTATGTCCCTTTAACCACATCACACAGAGATATACTGTTGGCCTTTCAGGATTATCCCCCTTACATGTACCAAGCGATACAGTAAGATTCGTTAGCTAACACAATTAAAAACAAGAAAGCAATGTCATTTAAAACTGAATCGTAACACAACACTTCAGCAAACTACGAACCAGGAAGAATTTCTGGACAGCGTTGCCCTGCAATATCCAGTTCACAAGCTTCAATAGAAATATCGTACACCTTTAATTTGAATAAAATAAAGTTTGTGAATTGAAACCTTGAAAGATCAAGTGTCCAATTTTTTAATTAACTTATTTTGATTTACGCTTTGTTTTGAAAATTTGATACAAATTTTCTGCTATTTCGTATATACTGAATGCAATATATTTACACATTATACTGCTCTACTATATATGTTGAAAATTCACCCTGGGTAGATTTTTTTCTCCTTGCGAATGACTTCTTTCATTGCTCAGTGATATTTTAACCAAACAACACATAGCATGTATGTTTACCTTTATAATCATGCTTTCGGCCATGATTAATTTTCGGCCTGTTGGCAAAACGGCAAATGGCAAATGTTAAATGTTCATCAACAACAAGTTGCCCAGGTCCTTGATTACAACAACATGTTTCCCAGGTCCTTGATTATAGTATACAAATATACATCTAAATACAGATTTTTCCAGTATTGTGCTGCAACTATTTACATAGTGTGAAATATAATAATATGAATTTGTTGAATTAAAAATACTTACGGATTTCTGCAGTCACGTGAGCACCACACACTTCCTGCCGAGAACGCAGACACAGCGAAACATTTAGTTTATTAATACCATCCTCTAGCACTGAATAGGATTTCTGCGAAGCGTCAAAGCAATCCACACTATTTAAAATAACTGTTGACCATGTTGTGCCGCCATTGCGACTGACTTTAATACGAACACAGAAAGTAATATTAATGTCGATATCCAACGTCAATTTCTTGTCTTCGCTTTTATATACCGGCACTGTTTTTATCACTGGGAAAGTCAGCTCTGGAAAAGAAACAGAAAAATATTGTGGAATAATGATTTTAAAGTGTGACTTGAGAAGGTGACAAATGGCTACTAGCATACTGACCAACAATTCAAATTGAACTTCATTATTTTTCATGGAATATTCTACAATAAAATTTGTTCAAGTTCATTATCAACCCTCCTGAAATAATATTTAAAGTCTGATAATAAAAAAATCCAGCATAATTGCTAATAAAATATAATCTTCATAACTTAAAAAATTTAAAAATTCATAAATTTTTTAAAAAGTTAATACTTACTTTGAGTGGTAACTTTAATAGACTCCGAATGATTTCCCTGTCCAAGCTTATTCACACCATAAACTTTAAAGTCGTATGTTGTATCCGGCATTAAACCTGTTACATTGTACTCATCTGCTGTCGATACATCGACATCGTTAGCACCATGTGATGAGTGGGGTAGACTCGTGTAGCGAATATAAAATGTCTGGGACTCTCCCCCGTTAAATCCGGGAATCCAACGGAGATAAACAGATTCCCATGTTTTGGAGGACACAGTGAGGCCTATAGGGGCCTCTGGTTTGTCTGAAAATTCAACAGGAAAATAAAAATGAAAACCGAAATGAAATTCAGAACTTGGTGCGACATATTTATATATCAAGCAAATTTGCAATAACATAAGAGAATGGAATAATTTTCCAGGTAAAAATTAAATAATAATAAATAAATTTGGTACTGTAAAATTAGTAATTTTTGAGGAGGATTAATTTCAGTTGATCTCATGAATAATTTTTAGCCATAAATTCATATGACTATGAACTGTTAAATTAGTGTATTTATTGAGATATGAATATCCATGATATTAAGCATCCACCTAGTGGCAAGTTTTTGAAATATCTGGAAAAAAAAATCACCAAAAGAGAAGATTTCACAGTATGCATAAAGTAAATCAATAAAAACAAACATCCCCTGCTTTCCAGATTTTTCTCGCATGTGGAAAATAACACAAGATACACAGTAAATCTTCTTACTTTTCACAGCCAGCGTAATTACTTTGACAGCAGTTCCAAGATCACTAAGCACTCTACATTGGTAATCTCCAAAATCTACGTTCTGGACATCAGCGATCTGTAAAATGTTTGTTGCCTTTGAAACACTAATATTAACTGTGGGTTCTTGGTTAAATCTTCCACCCAGAGGTAAGAGTGATTCCCCTTTGTACCACTGAAATTGTGGGATGGGGTATCCTTGGACCATACATGATAGTCTGGCAGTGTCATTTGCTGTTGCTGCCACTTTCTCGTCCTCATCAGTCTGTGGTGGAACTGTTAAGTGAAAATTAAATTTTTTTAAAAAATGTACACTCATTTTCTAGAAATCTTATCCAATATGTACATTAAGAAATAGGACAAGTCCAGAATCGAAAAAAAGAAAAAAAAAAAAAAAAAAAAAAAAAAAAGAAGAAAAGAAAAAAAAATTTGCAATACCTTAGGCTTGATGAAAGGTATAAAACAGAAGGTGACAGATAAGTGACAACATCTTTTCAGGTTTAACTGTTCTCTTTACAATTAAATGCATTAAAAATTTGTTTTTTTTTGTTTGTTTATCATTTGATTTCAATTGTAGAACACTGAATGTATGCATAATAATTGAATTAATGTTTTTGTTTTTCTTGTTTTTTCCGCTAGATGTTGCTTTCCTTACGGTTTCACAATGATTGATAATTATTACACGATATCAGCAGTTCAAATGTAAATCATAAACAAAAATGAGACTTTTGTAAACTATTACCTGATTTGTATAGTGCTACAACCCCAACCCACTAAACCAGGTCAAACTAAGGTCACGACCTTTGATACTTACAGAAGATGAGAAGCTCTTTAGTGTGACTCTGTTGTGTCCCGGTGGCGTTTGATAAAGCCAGACATGTGTAGTTCCCAATGTCCTGTAACAGTAGTGTCCCGCGAGACGAGGCACGGCCAGGACCTACGAAAAAACCAATCACTTCTTATTACATAAACTCTACTTTTTGATACGAAGTCCAGATTTCTTTTCAACAGCAAAATTTTCTTTTACGTTCTTTATCACATGAATTAAAAATATTTTCCAAATTCTGAAATACTTCACTAGATAAAAGGTGGCTGTATAATCATTTATATCTAATAGGAAAAATTTACACTGAAACATTGAAATATTGTTAACATTCACAACAGATCTCACAAAAGTTTGGTAATGCCTTCTTTGATCTGAAATTTCACTAATATATCAATATCATAATTATATCTTCAATCAAGCTAATTCCGTCATAAAAGAAATCAAAAGATGTTATAAAAATTTCAAGATGGTAATTTAGAAATGACCTATTTTTCACCATTTACTATAAGGAAATGAATTTTTTACCTTGGAAAGAGACGCGACTGGTGACAACATATCGATAGCTGCCCTCAAGACTGACAGAGGTGGATACAGTGTAAAAATCACTGTTTTGGTCGAACCTTACACCGTCTTTAAACCAAACGACATTGGGCTGAGGTCGACCTTGAACCATACACTGTAAAGTAATGCCTGTGTTGTTGTGGTAGATTGTCTCCCTTGGATTGGGCAGCACCTTGAATGAAACTGGCTCTGGAAAAATACAACACATGTAAGTATAGCTGCAGTTTTCTATATTGTTAGAAAACATTAAACGACTGAAAATTTCAAATTTATAGTTATAAAATGAACAAAAATATTTAATTTTAAAGTTTAAAAGCAATTTTAGAAATTGAAGCAATAACTTTGCTCAAGAATACTGATAAAAGATAAGATCTGTATTTATTGTGTGTTGTTTGTTCACTGTTTGTTGTTTGTTTGTTCACTGTTTGCGGGGTTCATCATCTAATGAACATAATTCTAAAAAAAGGAGGATTTCGATTTTTGTATTCATGCTATTAAAAGCATACACCCATGAACATTAATAAAACTTAAAATTTGGAAAAACTGCAATCCATTCTAAAAACTGAATTTTATTTTTCTGATAATCATTTTGCTGTAGAAGTTAATTACTCAATAATACACACTTACCGTAAATATCCACTTGGATGATACTGGATCCCCCGGACCCGATGATGTTGGTCGCTGCACAGGAGTAGTTGCCTATATAGTTCAGGGAAACTTGAGGGATCTCCAGGTCAGCCGTGGTCTGAGCAAGTTTTGAATTTGTTTCCACGCGTCTCCATTCAAACTCTGGGGGTGGATAACCTGCCAACAAAGCCATTTTTAAACCTTTCTGTTTAAAGGTTTATTAGTCAGTAGCTAGACTAAATAGCAGAAGTGGTGTTCAGATATTATTTCCAGTTAAGTAAGTAAAAGGAGATAAATTACTTGTCTAAATTGATAAATATTATGTTGGTGACACAGGTGAAGGGAGGTAACTCTAGCCTATCCGATATTAAAACTTCAGACCTAAAGAGATCTGGCTCAAAGATCATTAGAGTTTAGAGGTCATATGTCAAAGCAGCCACCTGTCTTCTGAGGTGACTATAATAGTGGTCACATGTCTACCTGTCTAATGAGACGACATGACTACCTGTCTGTAGTGGTGTTAGAGAAATCACTTTTGAATGAAGAGTGTGATCTCTACATCTTAAATCAGCAGTGAACAAGTTTTGTTTACCTGGGTCATTGACGGAACATCGCAGTGAGAGTTTTTCACCAGCGTTTACAGGGCTGTATGGGGATATAAAGGCATCACCGGGCTTATCTGTAACAATCATAACACATACTATTAATTCATATTCATGGTTTTTAGGAAAATTACACGGATTGATATTTCCTGATAAATCTTCTTCTAATTTCAACATTTCATGGACTAGGTGAACCCACAAGATGAAGTTGTGGGATTTTTTTTTATAAAACAAGCAACATTTTGTGCCTTGCTATAGGCAAGATATCTTATTATCTTTGTTCTTTTTTAAAAAAAACCATTTCTGTTCATTTTTCTGGTACATTAATCATTCACCCCTAGTTAAGCTATTGGTACTGATACATAACATCTAACCAATCACAGAAAGCCTTACATTGCACATATAGGTAGGAATATCCTCGCCGCTCCTCCTCTCGGGCGACCTGATTGGACAGCTGTAGGCGATTCCTTGCGATACAGGAGTAGTTGCCCATTTGGCTTACATTGATGTTAGTCAAGTTAAGATCTCTTCCACTTGATCCCATGCTGCTGTCGATCTTGAGCCACTGAATGGAGGTCACGGGCGGATTGGCATCCACGTTACATCTCATACTTATGTCGTCAGATTTACGCGTAATATATTCAGGTGGTACGGAGATGATCGGTGCATCTGTAAACAAATTTCAGTGTTCAAGAATTACCTTATCATTGTTAAAGTTACTATGCTCAATAATCAATGATAAATCTACATATGTGTCCCGAGTCCTGTTCTCATAGAATTTTGATAGACTCATGGAATTTCTGGAAAAAGTTAAATTTTACATTGTTGGGCCCATTCTTTCAAAATTCTAAAAAAAAATTTCAGAGCATGTCTTATCTTAATTAAATGTTGATAAAGTTACATATTGTATAAAACTATGATAAATACGTACACATGACAGTCAGTTGTGTAGATAAAACTTTGGTGTTAATACTATTGGTTGCTGTACAAGAATATTCTCCTGTGTCAGATTTCTGGGCACTTTGGAATGCATGTGTAAGGCTACTACCTGTAAAATCAGATGTTAAAAACAACAGTTAAACAATAATAATGTAAATCTTATGTTAGGATTAATATTCTAATAAAAAAAAAAAGAAATAAAAAAGATCAAACGTTCTACCAAAACAAACACATATCGTACCCTTGCTACAATATGAGGAGTGCACGATATGAGGTGGCATCATGTGGCTTTACACATATTTTAGCCTTCATTGTAAAATAACATTAAATTTTTTACAATCAAATTTTCTGGGAGAGAGAAAAACAAAACTGAAGTAAACATTTTATGAACTATCAATACAAACAAGAATTAAAGATAGGACCAAATCTTTTTCTGATGTCCATCTTTTATAAAACATGTATGTATTAATTTCTTGTTATAAACTAGGTGTGGGTGTTTTTGATCCCCACCTAGGACCAAATGTCTTCTCATGTAAAATTTGTTGTTCATGCTTGAAACTCTTATGTTTCAAGTTCGTCGTTTATATATTAATAAACGGCCAATTTCAATCAAATCTGAATCTTACCTGCTCCAGTGCGTATTGGTGACGACCCCTTACGCCAGACGATGGAGGTTGCAGATGGATTTGCATTGACAAGACATTCCATGTTAAAAGATGTACCAAGTAATATGTTAAATGGAGGGTAGGCGGGTGGAAATGAAATGATTGGGGCATCTGTAAATAAACAAGATAAATAAAAGTTAAAGAAACAGGTAAACAATATCTGCGTGATGAAGTTATCTTCAGCACATATATAGTAAAACAATGTTCTAAATTTGATGTGACAAAAGTAGTTAATTGTATAGAATGTCCTGTCAAATACTCACTTATAATTTTGCTTGATTAAGACTCATGCTTGAAAGACAAGTTGATGAATATCAAGTTTTTTTGGTCAAGAAACATTCGGATGTGGCAAAACAATTTCATTAACCTTTCCTGTTATATACAGAGTGATTCTTAGTCTAACAAGCGTGAAAATCAATATTTATCTTGGATATTTTACATGTGAACCTTGAATTTTGTTGGAGGGTATACACAATTTATATTTCAAAATCAAAGCTTAATAAAAATTTAACAGGCAAAAAGTAAAGAATTTAAGAATGAAAAAAAATCTTCAATGTCACTTTCTGGTGACATCTTGTTGGTAAATCGTATTTAGATCAGCTCCATGGCAAGCTACAAATGTAAAATACCATCAAATATGACTGATTCTGAAATGTCTACTAAGCACTTTGTGACATTTAATTAATTCATTTTTTAAACAGGATATCACTAGAGGCCGTGACTTAATGGAAGATGTCTAGTTTCCAATTTGGTCTTTATTAATTTTATTTTTAGCGTTAGTTTTGTCAGAGACAATCACATGCTGATATTTCACATTTAACATTTTTCAAAAATATTAATTTTGTCACATATTTATTTGATTTCATGTATTTTAATATTATATCTAGTTGATGTAAATATGAATAATTCTTATTCAAAACTTTAAACTTAGTTGGGATAACTTATTTTCTCTGTTTGATACAAGTCTCACAAAATAATGGAAATTGCGTGTTTTTTAAAGTTACCTCCCCTTGACCATAAATTCAAGACCAAGCATAGATTATCTCCCTTAGAACACAAAATGTTCAATGGAGCACAAGGGCTTGAAGAAAGATCCACAATATCACTGTTTCCAAAGGTAATCATTCAGATGTGTCTTGCTTTACCATATAAACATACGATTTTGTAGGATCACAACTTGTAGTCTCTTTAGTACAGGTTTTGTATGTCCTGATTTTCAGTTTATAGTATTTGTTTTGATCTACAAAAATCACTTCCTTTGCTTTGCAAAATGAATATAAACATATCTCTCATATTTAAATAGAAAATGTTCAATACTTACAAAAAACTGAGAAGACATGGGTAGAGGAAAGTGTACTAGCTGCATTTAAACTGTTGAAAACTTCACACATATATTCGGCTCCATTGTCCCTAGGTTGTAGAGCTATCACAATTTGACTAGAAGATTGAACTTTGGTCTGAATGTTCTCAGTTAGAATAGCACTAGATGGAACATCCTCTTTAATTCCATCAATTCTTCGCGTCCAGCGAAACGTTGGGGCGGGATTAGCACCAGATGAGTTACATGTTAGTGAAACATAGTCCCCTTCATTTAAATCGGGTCGTGTATCATTGACAAACAAACTTGGAGCACCAGGGGGCACTGAAAACATGAACAAATATATAAATATTACTAAGATGAATTACATATCAAAGAAATATGTATCTAACAAAATAAATAAGTAGATGTTTCCTAGCAACATCAAAGCCTGTAGCAGTAACAATAGTTTGAAACTCTTCAGTTGTAAAACAGGTACTTTTGGTAGACATGTTTTTTCTGTGACATCTTTCCAAAATTCCCACTGGAGTTAGGAAAGGCACCCCATTGCAATTTTGGTAATATATTATGTACTATTTCGTGAAAATTATGATTCAAATTTTTAAAAATAGTCATAATTTTATATAAAAAAATGATCATGAGGAAATCTTAACTTTACCTGCATACTGTTATTATACAACTACACACCAAATTACAGTTTTTGACAACTACACACCAAATTACAGTTTTTGACAACTACACACCAAATAACAGCTTTTGACAACTACACACAAAATTACACTTTTTGACAACTACACACAAAATTACACTTTTTGACAACTACACACCAAAATACAATCTATATCTCTCTCTGTTGTTGAGTGGAAACAAAATTATGACAGAATGACAAACAAGGCAACTTGTCTGACCATGAATAGTGGGGAATACAAAAAAATATTACGAAGAAAACATAAAACATTTGAATACACCATAATATCTACTCGATGTGATATCAATGGAATTAACCTGATTACTTTTACTACAGAATTATAAAGTATTAAACAGTGCTGAAAAAAATTCCTATCCATGTTAATAACTTCATAATAAATTCAATTTGTAAAAAAACATTTGAGATATGTCAACCAATATTTATAGAGTTGCAAGTCACATGTCATGAAATAGACTTATTTATAAAATGTTTGAAAGACTGTCTTAATCCATTTTGATTGAAGGGGGCAAAAATATCCCTGGGTGAATATTTAAGAAGGTAAAGGCAACTCTGGGAGAATATTATTGGGAATATAGCAGTGAAGATATCCCTGTTAATGAAATTCGCCTTGAAAGGTGGAAATTTTGTCATAAAACTGAAATATACAAATAGTGTGAGATCATAACTACATATGAAAGAAAAGAGATCTTACTTACCAAGTACATTGAGATAGGCACGGCCACTCGTAAAGTTCTGAACTGTACATGAAAATTCTCCATCGTCTGACGTGGTTACGTTTACAATTTTAAGGTTAAATTCTCCCGTAATACTGTAACGTGCTTGATAAGCTTGACTTATCACTTGGCTATTTACAGATATTGTTGTATCTTTGTTCCATGTAATGATTCTATTACCACCATCATTGACCTCACACATCAGTGTCGCTGCCTGGTTAACCCGGACCGACACATCCGAAGGCTCGGTCTTCCATGATATGCAAGTCACACCTGCAATAAAATTAAAAAAAAAAAAAGTTTCATCTTTATTTCAATAAATGTTATGCAATTAACTTTAAAAACATATGTGACATTACAGTATTCTTATCTCCAGTTAAAATGAGTTCTGTTCAAATAAAACATATTTTAGGAGTGGTAATTTTGTCTCGGATCATGCGGAAATAGATTGTTAAACAGAATAAATGTTGCAACTAATTTGTTCTTATTTTCTTGCCCTTTCATTTCATGTTTTCTGTAATTTTGGGAGTATTCTTAGCCCACTACCTATATACCACATATCAACCATAGTCAATGACAAACAATATTATCAGACGTCCCTGGCCTAAGTAGTCCTGCATCAATTGCCTTCATTTTTGTCCAGGGGAGGTAACTCTCCATCAATTCACAGACAACGTAAGTATAGGTAATATGTACTATTTATATTATGAGTAACTTACACTTATCATAGAATTAGTGAGAATTTAAACATGTAGTTTGTAATTTTTTCTTTAGATTTCAAAAAAATTAACAAAGTGATTTTTAAAAGTTCACGATCAACATGATATTAAAATTCATATTTGTGAAGAGTTTTCCAGCTTCAGATCTCGACTAGCTCAAAAGCCCTCACAAACTTTAAGACTTAGAATCAGACATATTCAAAGGTTCAAAACATTGCACCTCGTATTTACTTTATAAAATTCAAATTCCTGCAGATGAGAGTCAGTTGAGTGGATAACTTTGGTGAAGTTTTGTTTCCCACAATCAGCTATTAAACCCTCCCCAGATCAGTTTGTCTATGAGATAATAAGACTATATTCGGCCCTACAACAGGATATTGGGACTACACACACTGATAGTGATACTTATCAGCCCAACTCAACATTTTCATCCTTAGGTAATCCTCAAAACTGTTGATATTTAACACATTTTCTCCAAAGTATTGTTAGCTTTTTACAATTCACCACTAGTTACATAACTTCAAACATATCTATTCTTATCACTTAAAACGTTATCTTTTGTCAAGATATTTTATCGTAATGCTTCAAAAATAAAATATTATATATAATTTTGGATTATAAACTTCTGTCTTAGTTTTTATATTTTCACTATTTTCATATCTGTTGAAGCTGTAAAAATACTGTGAAAATCAAAATGAATTTCAAAAACTCCTTAATGGTTCATTTCAAAACCACTTGGAAAAATATTTCTTTGTTATATGAACAAATGACGAGATTATTAAAATACAAACTTTCAGAAAGAAGATTTAAATATTACAGTGACTAATACTGAGATACCAGCACCCAGGCATACTAAACAGAATGCACTGGTAGATGGTTTTAATGCACCACATGCAATGAATCTGTGATTATACATAATTTATTGGTCTTCATGTACGATAATCTACTGAGACTTCAGTCATGTCCAACCTCTATTGGACACAAGGGACACCTATCTACCTAACTTTGTCATGTCCAACCTCTACTGGACACATGAGGACGCCTATCTACCTAACTCTGTCATGTTCAACCTCTACTGGACACATGAGGCACCTATCTACCTAACTCTGTCATGTCCAACCTCTACTGGACACATGAGGCACCTATCTACCTAACTCTGTCATGTCCAACCTCTACTGGATACATGAGGCACCTATCTACCTAACTCTGTCATGTCCAACCTCTACTGGACACATGAGATACCTAACTACCTAACTCTGTCATGTCCAACCTCTACTGGACACATGAGACACCTATCTACCTAACTCTGTCATGTCCAACCTCTATTGGACACATGAGGCACCTATCTACCTAACTCTGTCATGTCCAACCTCTACTGGACACAAGGGACACCTATCTACCTAACTCTGTCATGTCCAACCTCTACTGGACACATGAGGCACCTATCTACCTAACTCTGTCATGTCCAACCTCTACTGGACACATGAGACACCTATCTACCTAACTCTGTCATGTCCAACCTCTATTGGACACATTATTACCGTATGAGCGGTTGTTATGTCATATAATAGTAAATATTTAGTTATCTTTATAGGATTTTTTCCAGTGAGTCCTCTAAAGCATTTCCAAAATTACTAAGATATATTTTGGGATGCCAAAATCTGACCCGAGTTCCACATGACCCGGATATCTGAGTCCCAAAAATCACTAAATATTACAGCAATAACATATGATTTAGACATGTTGACTTACCTGGAATGACCACTAGGCTAAGACATAGCGTGTTGACTTACCTGGAATGACCACTAGGCTAAGACATAGCGTGTTGACTTACCTGGAATGACCACTAGGCTAAGACATAGCGTGTTGACTTACCTCAGATGACCACTAGACTAAGACCTTTTGTGTTGACTTTCCTGGGATGACCACTAGACTAAGACTCAGCGTGTAGACTTACCTGGGATGACCACTAGACTGAAACTTAGCGTGTTGACTTACCTGGGATGACCACTAGACTAAGACTCAGCATGTAGACTTACCTGGGATGACCACTAGACTGAGACTTAGCGTGTTGACTTACCTGGGATGACCACTAGACTAAGACTTAGCGCGTTGACTTACCTGGGATGACCACTAGACTAAGACTTAGCATGTTGACTTACCTGGGATGACCACTAGACTAAGACATAGCGCGTTGACTTACCTGGGATGACCACTAGACTAAGACATAGCGCGTTGACTTACCTGGGATGACCACTAGACTCAGCGTGTTGACTTACCTGGGATGACCACTAGACTGAGACTTAAGAGTGTTGACTTACCTGGGATGACCACTAGACTGAGACTTAGCGTGTTGACTTACCTGGGATGACCACTAGACTGAGACTTAGTGTGTTGACTTACCTGGGATGACCACTAGACTGAGACTTAGTGTGTTGACTTACCTGGGATGACCACTAGACTAAGACTCAGCGTAAGTATGACGTGTATTCCACATGACATCTCCTTGCCTGTCACAAACAACGGGGAGATATAAAAGGCTTCATGTAACTTCCTCAATCCACCGAAAATAATCCAGTCCACCTACGATTGATATGGACAGCTGGTATAATCCAAACTCGTACGAATATTTCACTGTATTAGAATCCACATACTAATGAAACATCCACATCTGAATCACATAATTCCCTCCAAAATCACAATATCCTCGACAACAGTTTTTAAGCAGTAAAAACCCCAATGTTTTTTAGATTAAATCCAAAATCCAATCTGTGTTCTTCAGATCTTCATCTGGAAAAAAAATCAGAAAAAATTACAATTATGATCAAACATGTGTTTAATTTTATCATATTTCTCAACATTCTTTCTACCATCATACACCTGTAATAATTTTTACCCACACTTTGTCGGTCACAAATTTTTTCTATTTTCTGATCAATAAAAAGATTTTTCCAAGTAGAAAATTTTCAATGAATGGCAGCCTTTATCACAAGATCTACGAATTGGTCTAGAATTTTGACCCTGCTTCAAATCCCGGCTTGTTCAAGATCAAAGGGCCAGAAGGAATCGGTGGTTAGACATTTCAGGTACATTTAAAAGTTTATTTATAATTAAATACGCGAGTGATTTTTCAGTCGCTGATATTATCAGTAGTATTATTGTTTATTTCTATATTAAAGACAAGGTAGGTATACTTATTGAAATTACAACAAGTAAGTGAATTCTTTTCAACTTCTGTAATATCAGTTATTTCCAGATCATTATCATGTTAAAAATTGTAAACAAGAAAAAACATGGATAAAAATTTGAAATTCACAGAATGCTTTCGATCATTTTCATCACGTTACACAGAACCAGCTTATAAAGACATTACTTGTAGTGATATATTAGATTTGGCTTGAAATTCTGACAAAAAAAACTTTGAAGGAACATCAAGTTCCTAAATTCATTTTGAAGTATTTTAAGAATGTGTTAAAAAGACATGTAGAAACACTTCAAAGCATGTAACAACCCCCCCCCCCCCCTCCACCTTCCTTGACGGAGTCATTTTGAGACTTGGTTGTCTTGTAGTAGCTGGTGGTTATATCACTGAACAAGATACAGGAGGCCCGTCGCCATCCAGACCATGTGAAGTAAAGTATCTTGCCCAAGGACACAGAAACTACAGGAGCTTTAAAACACCCCCCTCTCCCCCCTGAATCTTCACACCTGAGATTATGTAGACAAATGCTGTACTGACAGAGTTATCAAAATTCCAGAAAACTCTCAGTAACTCGTGATGAAAGTCATAACAGCTTAAAACTCTCATCACATTCAAATATTGTTGCAATTGTTTACATGACATCTATGCAGATACAAAAACTTGATATTTACATAAAAAGTTATTGATTTCAAAACACAAACATTGTACTCCCTAACAGGGATCCTACACAAAACCTACAAGATTTAAATAAGGTTTAATTGGGCCATTGTTTTAGAATATCATGACCTCTAAAGTTAAAATTGGCCATGGGATATCTCAAATAAAAAAAAAATCAATACTAGGCTAGAGAGGAAAAAAATATTTGATTTAAAAGCCAAGTCAATGACCTGTGAACAGAGATGGTGTTTCAAGATTTCTTTTTTTAGTATCAAAACTAGGGGATATTTACATCACCTGTCTCTCCCCCCTCCACCCACCTGTATCATTTCATGTTAAAATTGTAATCAATGTGTGTGTCCTTCAATCACCTTACACTGACAGGACTTAATCTACCCCTGATAATTACAACCTCATTAACTGCAGGTAGAAATAACCTTGTAAAATACTCAATCGACAAATTTAAATACGACAGCCACATTCTTGATTTGTCTGCTAGTATTTGCATTACATTTGAATCCATATCATGAAAGCACTCACACCATTTAATAGCTGGAGAATTATTGATTTCAAATTGATAGAGAGACAGAAGGCGGAATGAGAAAAATCGAAATTCATTATTTCATGTTTAAATGCCTCTGCCTGACTATCTAAACTTAATAATCTTGATAAAGTGAATTTCTGAGAGACCAATAAAGTGCTTACTTCAAGTTACGGTACGTCATTCTAATGTCATGATTCCATCCCAATGAAGCAATTGTTTGATTCCAATCTTTTGAAAATTAAAATTTTTCAAATATTTCTTTATTTTTTTTTTTTAATGTAAATTTTTATAACATTTTCTATATTTTAATATCTTTCTTCCACTTTTTTGATAACAAAATTTATAAAATAAATTCCATATCATTTTATTTATCTATTTATACTTATAATTTATCTATCAATTTATCTTTATGAATTTTGATAACAAATTAAGACAAAGGATATTCTGTTTACTACTAGCTGTTTGTTCCTATTGTTGAAGTACATCACACATCTCATCAACAACTCCCTCAGTGCCCTATGACCTATGACCTCGGTCTTAATCTAGCAACTCCCTCAGTGTCCTATGACCTATGACCTCAGTCATAATCTAACAACTCCCTCAGTGCCCTATGACCTCTGCTTTAATCCAACATCCACAGCTGTGAAATTGTATATGTACCAACTGTGCCAACCGATCAATATCTTCTGTTGTCCTCATTATCATTATATAAATATTTCACAACGATTAATAAACATCCTGATTAAAAACTAAATACTGATGAATACATTTTGTGTCGTTAGTGATAAGTGAGCCATGATGCCATGACCCCCCCCCCCCCCCTCACCAACCTAATCACTTATTCAGAATTAATATAAACAAAAACAAATAGACTCTGTATTAAATTCATCAAAATCCTCGGTCAGGTGAATCCTTGACCCATTTAAGGTACATTCATATGTAACTGTCATGAATTCAAAATAAACGTTTTATAAATTATGTACAAGATAATAGGATTTTCTCGACCTGATGGAATTGTATATATATTAAACTGGTATCAGGTTATCATTTCTACCTTGTGGCGTTTAGGTACAAAGACTGATAAAATATTTGTCATTCGTACAGCTGCTGAAAGAATAAATTCTCTAGAAGTATCCTCGGTAACCACGTAGGTATTCTTCATTAATTTACAGGTAAATCTAATCACCTGTACACAGGTAACACATCCAGGTAGACAGATGAATATCTATACCTTCGCATATCAACAACTACAGCTTTTAATATCTAAAGCATTATAAACTGTACAGATGTTGGAGATCGTAGTTACCATAGTTACGGATGACACAATCAACAACAGATTAGAATATTAGCACACACCAATACACCCACTTCATGTTGTGTATTTATATGCATGAGTCTGTGTTCGATCTACTATGAAATATCAGGTCCAAAGATATCATTATCAAAACAATCGACCACAACCTGTAAATGAATCTATGTTGAAAAGGTGTCATTTTACTCTTATCAATTATTTAGTGTGGAAAAAATATTAAATTCTGAAAGTTTAAAGTATAAATAATTTTTATATCAAATAATGTATTTATCAAATCATTTTTGATATTTTCAATATTTTATTATGAAAGTTAAATCATTTGATGCAGAAAATATGTGGTTATAAATCAGAGATCAATGATGAAAATCTGAAATCACTTAAAAACATCTTAGTTTAAATATGTGTTGCAGGAATCAATATGTAACAGAAAGATACATACATGATGCAGATGTTTTACACGCAAGTGACATTTTATGAGTACAAGAGTAAATATCACACTTAGTCACGGTATGTAACACCTGTCTTCCTTTATCAATCGATGACCCACCACACCATCTCTCAACAACGAGTTTTAAATTGTAATCTGACATCATCCAATCAAATAAAAGATAACAGTCAGACTGGTCCAATGAGATAAGCTTTCTGAAAGACTACATTAGCTGTACAAAAGCCTCAGTTTAACTTATAGAAGTCAGAAATTCACCTCCAAATGTCTATTTAATTATGAATGTGAGTTCTGAAGAGGAAACGTTAACAATCACGGATTTCATCATTGTTCATATGCAATGTTACTAAAGTGAAGTTGTTGACACATACCAGGATCAATCTTTATATCTACGTCTAAAGGCCTATTTTTCAAAGTCCGGTAGCACAATACAATGAATTAAATTATCATTAAAGAAATCAGTTTCATATTTCCTTAATAACATTTAAAAAAGTAATGTGATATTGAAATAATTTTCTAATTACAAAAATTAAGAAGATTTGTGACATTTCCAAAACTGGCAAATGAATAATCCATCAAATTACACAAGGCCTATTAAAGTTCGTTTTTTCATTTTATTGAAATGTGTTTGTCTCTTTCCAAAAGAGACCACTGACTACCTGTCAAAAGATTTTCTGCACAGTCATAATCATTTTTATTTCATTTTCATGTTTAAATTTAGTGTTTCAGTTTCCAACATTTTGGAGATGGACAAACATGCAATAATTCAATACTGAATGGCTCGTTTTTATATCTAAATATCAGTCACATTTTGATTTATTCAATTTTCTAAATCTGATGAAGATTAAAATTTAATATTAAGATGTGTGTACATGACAAGTTCCTGAAAGTATGTTGCCAAACTAATGACTTCAGTTTATATTTTCACATATTGACCAAGACAATTAAAAACAGACTTGATCTAACTATGGATAGACAAGAAATATAAAAACACTAGAATGATCTTGTCACAGTTAGAAAGACCTTTAGGTATATAAGGCAGAGATGTATTTGTCATATGCCTAAGTCATCAGAAAAATTTGTAGTAATTTGTTAAAAAATGTGGGGAAAAAAACCTGACTGGTTGTAGAAATATGTCTGCAAGTGTTATAGACAGGTGTCAAGTACATTTATCATATGTCCAGCTACTTAATTACTCATAATATCTACTCATGGGGCCCCCTGAGGGGAAATCAATCATAAGTCAGAATTGTTGGGGGCCCTTTAGGGGGGATTGAATTGGTATGTGTAATATGAAGTGATTTTGTTAAACTGCCTTACAAAATTCTAAATCAAATATAAA